TTTTTTTTTTTTTGCTTTGGTTGTTCTTATTTCCTTAGGATAAACTCCCAGAAGGGAGGGAACAGAGTCGAAGGGGATGCATCTTTATTTCTGTGGCTTTTGCTACGTAATGCAGAGTTGTTTTCCTATGGGGACAAAGCCCATCTCTGGCGCTATGACCCAGTCTGTTAAAAGTTTGGCTCCTACCACATCTCACTTTTAACTCCCAGCGGTGTCCTTCCTCTTCCCCCAGAGCCTTCGTGTGAAGATACACACTGAGAGCTAGAAAGAGCCAGACTGCCCGCGATGAGATCTCAGGGTGTGGGTCCCCCAAGCTAGCTGCTGGCCCCACCCAGGCTGGGTGTACCAGCTGAGGGCTACACTCACGTGAGCTCTGGGTAGACGTTATCCAGGTACCAGCGGAAGGACTTACAGTTCATCTTCTTCCTCTGCTCGATCCGCGTGGCTACACTGAAACAGTAAGAAAGGCTCAGGCCTTGGCAAGGGGGCCCAGGGAGGAAGCCCCAGGAGGCCAGCCCCCTCTGTCCGCCTACCCCCAGGCTGGGCAGGACCAGCGGCTGTCCAAGCCTGCCCTCCAGCCATAAATCATTCTGCAACCTGCAAGGTCACTCCAAGTATCCTGGCGATTCCTCATTTCTTTCCTCAAATTCCCACTCACTTTGCAGGATCAGGGCAGCCCACGGAGGGTCCTGCTTTACCCTGGCTTCTCACTCCTCGACACCTCAGCACTCCCTAGTCCTTTGGGTTTTTTTTTTAAGTTTATTAATGTATTTACTTTGAGAGAGTGCATGAGCAGGGAAGGGGCAGAGAGAGAGAGAAGGAGAGAGAATCCCGGCTCAGAGAGAGAATCTAACAGCTCTGAGCCTGATGCAGGACTCAATCTCATGAACTGTGAGATCATGACCCAAGCCGAGATCAAGAGTCAGATGCCTATGTGACTGAGCCACCAGGTGCCCCCTCCCTAGTCCTTATTTTCACAGAGAACAGAGCCTCAGTGAACTCCAAGCTTTCCTTTCCTGCATTCCAGTTTTAGCAGAAAGGGTCAAATAAGACAAGCACGCTTTAAACATCTTTGGGGAATTTTGGCAAATAAGAACCCTCCGATGTGCCCATGGATCCACAGTTTGATCTCCCCAGCTTCCTCAGCTTCACAGACCAGAATGGCCACTGACAGATGACCTTCACTGCCTCTCCGAGCCTCGGTTTCTTCCCTGGTAAACTGGGGACATGACTACCTATCTCGGAAAGTTTTCGGAGAATCAAATGAATTAAGAGGGCATAAGAGCCTACCACAGCGTAGTTAGTCAGTAAACGTCAGTTCGCCACTAACAGAAATAGTGACACAGCTTTTCTTTTTTAAAGGGCTAGGTATGCGTAAACAGAGGCAAGAAGATTCAGTGATGATTGCTGATGTTTTCAGCCTTCTGACCACAACCTTAAGTAAGAAATAAATACATCTTATACTGTGATCGAGTATTCCCATGTGCAAATACGGCTAAACACACACGCGCATATAACTGAAATAAATTTCGCCGAACAATACTTAGCCTTAACTGCAATCAAGTGCTATTTGCTAGTCTGCTCTGTACTAATCTATAGTGTTCTAGGTCTATCATTTTTTTTTAAATGACTGTCACGACCCACGAAATCGATTTTATAACCAATCTACATTTTGAAAATGCTTAACTAGACGGTAGTCACACGAGTCCAGGACAGGAAAACAGGCTAACGGCGGGGGGGTGGCGGCAAAACCCCAAGTGTTTTCCGCAGACAGTCGGGCAGGGCACTAAGTACTCCCACAGATGTCCTTTTTCCTGCAGGCAGCTTGTGAACGGGCAGCTCTTCGTAAGCGAGCCCTCTCTGCTTATTTCTCCCCAAGAGGCTGCATGCTCCTCAAGAACCCAGTCCTATCTCACATTGCATATCCTACCATATCCCCCGACTCCCAAGAGCCCAGTGGGGAGGGGCTCAGTTGCCGAGGAGACAGTGAGTTCTTCCCTGGCGTCCACGGTTTGTGTTTTGCTATGGCTGTGCTAACGTGGGCGGAGGGAGGCAAACGGGGCTGGTCGAGGGGGCCCACCTGCCAAAGGCCTTTCCGATGGCCGAGGGCCGGGCCTCATAGTAATACTGCTTGTATTCATCCATCCACACCTCTGCAGTGCGCTTGGTATTCCTAAAAGGGGAGGAAGGAGCAAAACGAAGTCACCAGGGTGGTCACAGAGTTAGGATCAAGATCAGCTCTGCGCAGCACAGGGTGTTGAGGATCTCAGGAGTGTGCATGAAATAATACTGATGGTATAAATGACTATGTAATCTGTCAACGTCCATCAGCTCGTGTCTGTATGCTCTCTGACACTCCACTTGAGGCATCTGTTCTGCCAAAATACCTACATGGGGGCAAAAGGACATGTACCAAATATTTGTTTAGTAAGACATGGGTGACAACCTAAATGCCCACCAATAGGAGCATAATGACCCCTACTTCTCCAGGATGGAGTACGTGCCATGGAAGGATGTCTAGAATTTAGTGTGAGCAGCAGGAAAGCACATTGCAGAAAGAACACACAACTTGACCCTATGTACGTAAAACACAAAGTTGTGGTATGTGTGCTTCCCTCCACCTAAAGTACGTGCATGAAAATGAGTCAAAGGGCCGAAATGAGAGACCAGAAATCTATACCCAGTAGTTACTTCGAGAGAGCCAAGGGGGATAGGAGTCAGACTGGGTAAAAGGGACTTTTGCTTTTTTCTCCACATGTGACGTAAAGAGTAAAAGCACATGTGTGGACAGATATGTATATATAATACCTTGCATTTTACGGTGAACACGTGTTACTTTTATCATTATAGAGACAACGCAAAAAGGGGTGGGGGAGAAGCAAACCGAAATATTAAGCCATTCGGTTAGCTAGACTGGGGAGCCACTGCTACAAACAAGGGAGCACGGGCCTGACAAGCCAAAAAACTGTCCTCAAAGGGGGTGCTCATGACACTCTTCCCCGCCTCCCCTTCCACCCCCTCCAGGAGAGCGGGCGATGGCTGGTCTCTAGGACCTTGCCCACTCCCCCTCAAGACCAAGTACATCCTGGGGCTGGGCACATGGGTGGGCAGATGCTGACCAAGTCAGGGTCAGGACATGGCATCCATGACCAGAACTTGGGGCCCAGTGAGTGGAGGGCAGCTCCCAGGTAGGCATTGGGCCAGTTTTCCAATATACTCCCGGGCAAAGAGAGTCAAGACAAGGGAGGCCTGGCGTCCACACTCGGTTTCATCCTTCCACCCTTGAAAGTACCTGGAATCCCAGAATTGGAGGGAACAGATGGGGAAACTGAGGCCCAGAGAGGTGGGGTGGCTGCCCAGAGTCACAGGAGTAACTGACTGGGCTGGGGTCTAGAAGCCAGGTGTCTTAGCTCCTAGCCTGGTGCCCTTTGCACTGTGACCTACCTGATGTAGGTGAGGGCATTGCCCTCAGGGAAGTTGTAGGGGTGCCGTTTCCTGAAGACGTGGCCCACCCGGCTGCAGGGCACGATCTCCAAGCTCCCACCGCACATCCACACCCTGAAGGAGAGCTCTGCAGGAAATGGCAGCCGTCAGGAGGGAAGAGCCCCTGGCAGGTCCCCACTGAGTGAAGGCCGGGAGGAGCTAGTCTCCCTTGCCTTTGGTGTCTCTTTGAAGGCATGTGCTGGGCTCAGGGTTCCTGGGGCCATGTACATGGGGTATGCCCAACCTTGAACATGTTCCTGACTGCTCGCTCCGTGCATGTACATACCCCCGCCCCCCCAGCACACACACGCCCCTCCACACACACCCCCTCTACCCACACCACACACACACATACCCTCCATATACACCCCTTTGACCCACATTCCCCCCTCCACACACACTGCAAACACACACCCTCCACACACGTCTCCTCCATACCTACCACACATACACACCCTCCCTACATGCTCCCCATACACACTGCCCGTATCTGAGCCCTAGGAGAGGAAAGGTTTTTTGTTTTGTTTTATTTTTTTTGAGACAGAGAGAGAGAGAGAGAGAGAGAGAGAGAGAGAGAGACAGAATCCTAAGCAGGCTCCACATTCAGGGCGAAGCCCAACGCAGGGCTCGATCCCATGACCCCGGGATCATGACCCAAGCTGAAATCAAGAGTTGGAGGCTCAACGGACTGAGCCACCCAGGTGCCCAGGTGGGAAAGCTTTGAAGGAACACCAAGACCATGAGCAGAAGGAAAACCGAATCAAATGCAGCATCATTTCCAGCCTCTGACTATAAAGCCCCATGCAGACATTGCTAAGGAAGAATGCATTTCTAGACACAGTCAGAAAGTCAGTCAGTCCTAGACACCCATGAAGCTGGGAAACCCACCACCAATCAGGCCACGGGCCACTCTTTCTGGCCCCGGACCTCCCTCTTGGCGCAGGTGGTCTCCATGCACAGGCTACCACTGGCCCTCTTGAGACACACTTCTGTTTGATAGTGGTTGGGATGCTGAATGAGCTTCTGCCGGTGACTGTGGTTCTTCTTAGTGCTGAGAGATGCAAGAAGGTGGCCATTCTGCTTCCCAGAAGGGAACAGCACAAGCTGCCTGCTCTATTCTCAATTTTTTTTTTTTTTAACATTTATTTTAGTTTCAAGAGACGCAGAGAGACAGAGTGTGAATGGGGGAGGGGCAGAGAGAGAGGGAGATACAGAACCGGAAGCAGGCTCCAGGCTCTGAGCTGTCAGCACAGAGCCTGACGCGGGGCTTGAACCCACCAACAATGAGATCATGACCTGAGCTGAAGTCGGACGCTTAACCGACTGAGCCACTGAGGCGCCCCTGCCTACTCTACTCTACACTCAACAGTCGTCACTTCTGGCAAGGACCCATCTTGGCAGCTTGCTGGACCTCACATCATCTCTTCTGATTACTCTTTCATATTAACCCTGCAGGTGGGCACCCTGTGACATTAAAACACCTCTTTCCTGTCCCAGAAAATACATAATCCTCTTTTGTTTGTTTGTTTTTAATTGAAAAAAAGGAAGACCGTTTTCTCATGAGCTCTAGCCTTGGTCCATCTCCCACTCCCCAGCTGGCCATACAGACACTGGTCCCTGGCCAGGTCTGGGTGTCCTCACCTGGCACAGATGGTCAGGGCCCAAGCCCCCTCGCTGCGACTAACACCCACCTCTGGCTAGACTGTGTGCAGCAGGCAGCTTCCAGACACAGGCCAGGGGCGAGGACTGGACATGTGGCATATCCGGACCCATGCTCATGGTCGGGTATGCTAATGGACTTCCTAGGTAGGCCTGCAGACTGCCGGGCTTGTGTCCCTTCTCCCGGGATGAGCTTTGCAACTGGTTCAACAACTGAGATTTAGAACTAGGGGCAGACCTGGGGGACAGAGGAGTTACTTTCTAGTTCCATTTCTGCCAGACTAGCTTGGTTATGCTAGTTAAGTCACTTCATCCCACCAGGCCATACTGTCCATGCTGTTATTGTCATTATCCACAATGGCGGTAACGAACAGTAAGCATCACCCATTTACTGAGCACTTGCTATGTGCCATGCCAGGTCTAATTCTCACAGCAAGCAGATGAAGCTAGTATTATTATCCCCATGGGCTTTTTGTTTGTTTTATTTTTGTAAATTTATTTATTCTTTTTAAGTAGGCTCCATACCTAACGTGGGGCTTGAACTCATGACCCTGAGATCCAGAGTCACATGCTCTACCAACTGAGCCATCCAGGCACCCCTATCCCCATGTTCCTAATCAGGACTGGGAAGTTCAAACATCTTTTTTTTTTTTTTTTTTAAATTTTTTTTTCAACGTTTTTATTTATTTATGGGACAGACAGAGACAGAGCATGAACGGGGGAGGGGCAGAGAGAGAGGGAGACACAGAATTGGAAACAGGCTCCAGGCTCCGAGCCATCAGCCCAGAGCCTGACGCGGGGCTCGAACTCACGGACCGTGAGATCGTGACCTGGCTGAAGTCGGACGCTTAACCGACTGCGCCACCCAGGCGCCCCAGAAGTTCAAACATCTTAACCTCTCCAAGATCACCCAAACACTCTGCTGCAGAATTACAATGTCAAGTTCACATTTTGTCCAGCAAGCTGCACTGTTTGAACCAGATTCTTTCGTTCATTCAGTAAAATTTTATCGGGAACCTGTTCATTATGTGTTGTATGCCGTTCTAGAATCCTTACACTGACGGGTAGGAGACAGGGACTCACTAAAATAAGAAAGAAAACGACAAGTAGACCAGAAAATGGATAAAATACGTAGTCTATCTGGCGGTACTAAGTACAATGGAGACAAAGGAAGCAGGTGGGGCTGAAGAAGGGGGAGCTGTTGGGGGGGGGCTACAGTTTTAATTAGACTGACTGGGAAG